ATCCCTCGGCGTCAAAGTTTAACGCTCAGGATATCCATTTAACATCATTCTTCGACATACAGGGTACTTAATTGCTTTCAATTGTTTTCCTTATGCGTCATCTCAACGATGCATGTAATACTTTGCATATGTAAAAGTATACACTATATATATATATATATATATATATATATATATATATATATATATATTCACAAAAATATTAAGTGTATAATATTCATACTTTCATAACCCCATAATCCCTACACCTACCCACTTTTTAACAACATAAAACTCCATAAGACTACGGTTATGTATTGTATAAATATTTATTTACAGGTATTTATTGGTACACCACTAATTTCATCATGGTGATATTCTGTGTTTGATGTAAAAGGGTTCTTATTGAAAGCAATGGCACCCTGTACGCAGGGGCGGATCTACCGGGGTGGCAACTGCCACCCTAAGAAAAAGCTGTGCCACCCCATCTGCCACACCAGAATTATCACAGAATAAAATATAAATGTAAGAATTGTTTCATGTGCTACTTTTCAGCCGCGGCGATGACAGAGTAACGCAAAATAATGGCAAAAACAAGTCTTTTAATAAACTGTGCACGATGGTTGTACGCGCACGCAGCGTGCTAGTGTAGTCGGCTTCATTAACAAATGACTCGTATGAACCGGATCTTTTTGAGTTAAAACCACAAAGCGCGGCCCAGTTCACTAACGAATTGTTTTTACATTTGTTCGTGAATCAGATAATTACTGCTTTTCAGGTAACTCAGAAGTCCTCTGAGAAATCTAATCCCGTCCGGATATGTCTGAGATTCATCGCGTAATTGTTTGGTGATCCGATTCTCCGACCGCTGCTCCACTTTCATCATGGATATAAGCCCGAACATAACCTGAAATCAATAAGAAGATGCCGATCACGGAAACTAATAGCAGAGTTAGGTAAGAATCTAGTCGTATTGCAGTTTTCTCGATTGTTAATATAACTGATTTTAGTTGGCACTTTTTTCCCTCAAACCATTAATTCAGTTTTCAAAACAAAGACACATTTTCACTATTCTATATGTACAGTAAACTGTAGCACATATTGTACACCTTCAAGTGTGTTACTGTCATGTACTGCATTTTTGCAGAACTGAGAAATGACTGCCTAGAGATATATATAGTCTTTTGCCAGGAGACCAAGAAACTGCTATAGTGCTGTATACTGTAATTTGGCCAAATGTGCAGAGGATGCTAAATTTACTTTATTTTATTTTATTTTTGTACTGTACTGTATTGTGGGTTCGCCGTGATTTTCATCTTTTCATATTTTGTTGATCCTGGATCAACATTACTGTCCAAAAATACAGATTTAACCCAATCCCTACCCCTAAACCTGACCCTACCCATAATTTATTCCTAAAATCAGAGGGAAATGATAGCTGATTAACAAGGGTGTAGAAGCACCTAATCCTGAAAAGTTATCTCTCAATTCTGATTGGCTGATTGGACATTAAAAAAAAATCTAACAGGAATAAATATTATGGCAAAGGTGTTTGCAAATGTTTGCTTTTGAGATGTGATTGCGATATTTTGAATGCAGTGCTTCATTTTGCAAGAGATGTGAGGCATTTTGCATTTTGTGTGTGCAATTCTTGGATTTGTGTGTAAAGTTTTGAAAAAAAGAGGCAAAGTTTTGAAAATTTGTGTAAGCCGTTGAAAAAAACCTGTAAGAAAAACTAATAACTAGATTAAAAAGTTTGAAAGACAAATTTATGCTGGCTTGTCTTAAAGTCTTGTTTAAAAACAAATGGTTTGGTCAGTTAGATGTTCTAGATGTTTGCTGAAGTGTTGCTAGTTGGTTGCTAGGCTCTTGCCATGCAGTTGCTGGGGTGTTGATATGGTTGATAGAGTTTGTTCTGGGTAATTACAGACATCCCCACCTCTGTTAATAACAGAAAATCAAACATTGTTTTCAAAACCAGTTTCAGAGCTTTGATATTATTGTATTTCTTTCTAATGTTAGGAAATTCAAACGTTTTTATTGCTCTTAAACATGCACTAAACGTGATTATACCATCTAAGTAGCCTATGTAATTTTAATAGAACCGCATGTCTTCTTTAGTGATACAAGCTCAGACACATTTATAACCTGTTGAAGTTTTTTATATTGTGCATTGACTTGGTGCCATGATGGATATTAAAATGTTGTTATTTATTTTTCATTTTAAACAGTATGATTACTTAATGGTAATACAATATTTGTGAACACAACTGTGTATGTCAGACCATAAATCCACAAAAACTATGCATGTGGGCTTGCTTTGGTGTTGCCACCCCTCATAGACCCCATGCCACCCTAAAAATTATTTTCTAGATCCGCCCCTGCCTGTACGTCGAAAAAAGTGATAGGCTAATGTGACGAGTTGGGAGTGAGAACGTGTTGACCAAACAATCTCCTTGGATAACTGCCTCTGCTAAGCTATCTAGTGATGGTCCTCAATGGTATTTTTGTGATTGTGTGGACTAGGTGTTGTTGCAGTAGGCTACTGTGAAGGGGACTTTAATGAACCTGTCATTTCCGCCATGATGTTATACCCTCTGCCTTCTCCTCCAGTTTCTGGTCCATCTCTGGTTCCTCGTCCACCTCTGGAAGCCCCCCCCCCACTCCTCACATATGGATGGCACGTATATGCCATCCTGGAGGAGCTTGACTACCTTTGCAACCTGATTAGGTTGGAGGTAACATCTGATATAAACATATGCCATCGGTTCGGTTTCAACTGCTTTTTTTCCCAAGTCTAAAAATGCATACTGTGTTACAAATCTACAGTGGCCTTTTGTGCTTTCACTTTCTGATAACTATGGCCTTTTCACATAAATGCACACATTGTGTTTGTGTGTGAACAGCAGGATAAGATGTTCCAAGGTCTTTTCCGCATAGGCAGAATTTTCTGCCAGAAAAGTTCAGCTGAATGTACTACTCAGCAAAGCTTTCAAATCACATGCAATTTCTTCATTTTTCATAACAGTGTGAATTGTTATAGAATATGAGCATGACAAAAACTGTATTGTTCAAACAGGAATTGTGTGCGCTCAAAAAGAACATTGAGTTCTCAGGTGCGTAAAGCAAAAGGGAGAAAGTTTTAGTCCAACAAGTCGGAAAACACACTGAAAAAATGTTCCAATCAGACTCATGAGCACTGAAGAAAGCATGGGCTGAAACGTTTGCTCTTTGGCCTGTTTTTAATACACTTTGCACTTTTGTCACTTTTTTCACTTTTGCATATGGATAATAAAAACAACATTTTTCGGAGACCTTTTTTGGTCTGATTGAAAAATGTTTTCAGTGTGCGGACAAATTCAAAAACTGTATTGTTGAAATGAATTTTTCAGTTAATTGAAATCTGTATCAATAGATCGCAATAGACTACTGCAAGATGAGAGAAATGTTTCGTTGTAGTAGTTATTGGGAGACTGAATGGTCAAGGTCCATTGTGATTCATCCTTATGTAATCAAAAACATATTTATTGTTTCATACTAACATTCTTAAGTAAACAAAACACCAAATTAGCATGAATTATTTTTATTTCATGGTTATATCCCACACAGATTTCCTCTGGATTTAAAAGTTAAAAAGTGAATAAAGTAGTAATTATGGACATAAGCTATCCAATACTTTAACCAAAACAGCATTTAATCTCAAAACTCAAAAATATCAATGCTCATCATGTCTGATAGAACAAAACATTCACTGGCATCAATTAAAACGAGCCTGTATTCGTTATAGTTTCATCAGAGAAATGTTTAAAATCACAAAACAATAAATAGATAAAGAAAAAGTATACATTTATGGCTAAATGGCTTTGAAGTCTTGTGTATTATAGCAGAGTAATTTCAATAACCATCCTTGTCGTCAAACTTCTTAATCTTCTTCTCTTTTCTTCCTCTGTTCCTTTGCTTTTTGTTTTGCTTTCTATGAAGATGGCACGATGGCACAGAATTTAGTTCTAATAATATAATACATAAACATATACACTATCATTGGTTGTATACATTCAGTAGTAGCGTAAAAGTGATGTATATCTCACCCTTTGCCCTTCAATAATCTCTGTCCTTGCCTATCATTTGGATCCAAACACATCTTTAACCTCCTGTTAACCTCATTTCCTTTTCCCTTTCCTTTTGCAATCACAGTCAATCTAAGATCGGCAGGAAAAGACAGAAACAAAAGCAATTGTTTTATTGCAATTGCCGGCTTGCAATTGTTAATTACAGTGCTCATTAATTATATTGAATCTCTAGAAGAAATAAAGATTTATAAACATTATCTTGTAATATAGGACTCATAGTATGCATACTTACATAATCTCTGTCTTTGAGCAAGAGGGACTTGGTGGGAACAATTCAACTGCAAGAATCCATCTAGGCTTCACTGCTTTTGGCAGTTTGCCTCTGCATAAGCAGCGTTGTGATAACCCCCCTGCTTGCCCTATAACACAGTTAAGTTTAAGGACTAATGTACACAACAGATCCAGAGCAGGAAAACTATTGTTCCAAGCCGGTAATCACTGATTGGATTGACAGACAATAAACCTCATACAAACACACGAATAAGGATATATTTGTTATGATGCATATTGTATATGTTTAACAGAAACACTTAATTCAATCAATGACATTAACAAACATCTCTGTAATACTTCATTCTGACTGGACAATCACTGCATTCTGTGGTCAAATATTTTTGTATAGCGACTGATAAACTGCAGAATTTTTCAATAAGGACAGACTGTAGATTATTCATTACAGTCCATTTAATGTTTAAAAATGTCATACTTTGATGCATATGTGTTCATATACTTTAATGAAACACAAACTGCTGATCATTTTAAGTTTGACTATTTTCTTAGTTTTGTAATGGTGTGTCAGATTGTCCTCAAAAATAAATTTTGTTCAGACACCTTCCTGGACAACAAAAACAAAGTTTTTTGTAAATTAAATCATTCTTTTATACACATGTTAACAATGTGCGTTAAAGGGTTAACTAAAAGGCTTTACTAATTGTTCTGTGCATATATGATGCAAATGTAAGACAATAGACAATAGATATCAGCTTACCTGCAGAGTGTGTAAGAGTCACTCCAAACACCAGAACACACAACAGTGTGTGAACAACCTGATTCATGATTCACCTCACAGGCAGCTCCAAAGAAATGTTTCCTTCGTATGCAGTCCGCTCCTTATATAGCACAGACTTACTTTCATTTTCCAATCTTCCAATGAAATGTTCTCAACAACACATCCATCATCCTTGAGGATAGAGTTGCATGGCCGGAACAGAAATGACCACTTGTTTTAACATTTGAAAGAAATCTGCATTTAAAAGTCACTAAAGACTATGTAGAGAGAAAGACAGCACAAAGAACACATCATCATTATTATTAATATTTATTTATTTTGCTTTGGGCAAGAAGAAAAAATACATTTTTGCCAGTCAGAATAAACCTTTTCTAAACCTAGCTTTTAGAAGTGAGTGTTGTATTAACAAGGTCTTATAGTCAAACATTAACATTCACCACCATCAAATTAATGATACAAACATGTGCTTAGCATTTGATTGGTTACTTAGTTTGTAATGTTTGCCTTTTGGGAAGAGACTGTATTTCCTCAGAGTATTTAATTGTGTTGAACTTAACTTGACTGTGCAGAGAACAGAGGATTTAAGATTTTTCTCTGTTTTATTGGTCATATGTACAAATAGTAAAACCTAATATTATTAGTGGTGTGTGTGTTACAGATAGGAGTGATCAAATCATGTGGCGTGTTATGAAAAGGAAGTGAACAGATTTAAAAAGAAACAAAAACTGAAATGCAACTAAAATGATTACTTATGTAATGAAGACTCTTCCTTGAAACAAAGCCAAAATATCAAACTGGTCACTTATAACTGAAAGCATTTTTGTATTAATGCACTGTATATCAAACACCACTTCAGCCAGACGTATATGTTTTTTGTACATCCAGAGATATTACATACTGTATGTGACATCAAATTAATAACAACAAGGTCCAGTGTTTGGACAAGAGGAATGATTAGTGATCAGTAATAGAATAAATATGTACTCTATAATCATGTAGTAACATGTATGCTTTCATTTAATTTTCTACATTCATTGAAGTTCTGAAAGCAAAATGATACAATGTAAAAATGTGAGATTTGAGAAGGTTGAAGATTTCCTGCATCTCAAAAGAAGGTCACAGTCATAAGATGTGGCCTCTTTGTTTTCTTTTCTGTTCCTTTCTTGTGAAGAAAAGGGAAAATTCAGTTCAGTCCCTGTGCCAAGGTTATTGAGGGGAGTGAATGGCTTAAGAACTGAACTGAAACTGGCACTGCGATGAAATGGCCAGAATGGTTCTGAATTAACTCTAGAAATGAGCTGGCTTAGAAGTGAGAAATATAGAACTGTATTTATAGAATACTTAAAATTAGGGAGCTGCAAAAATGAATGAGTGTAATTAGTCTGAAGCAGGGTTAGGGTTAAGATCCAGGCAGAAAAATGTGTAACAAAATTCTGTTTAACAAAACCAAAAGGGTAAATCTGATACAGTATGTGTATGCCAACACAAACAGCCAGTGTCATTGAGTAAACTAAGCAAACAAGCCAATAAATGTAACCCCAGGAATCAAGGACAATGGAACAAAGCACATGAGCAAAAGATCATAGGACAGAAAAACTAGGAACACAGGAAAAAATAAAATTCTGCATAAAGGAAGGGAAATGCAGCTGTATTGTAGATAATCACAGAAATGAACAAAGAGTAGAGTCAAAATATGATAGATAGATAGATAAATAAATAAATAAATAATAAATGTTTTTTCCCTGTATGCCTACAACCAAAATAAATTCCTTGTACATTGTATATTATTAATACATGACCAATAGAATCTGTGTTCCAACTAATGCAATAGTTCTAATACTAGGAAAGGGTAGCAAATACTTATACCTATTTATGATTAGATCTATATATTTAGAACAAAGACTATAGAAATATCTAGACAAGTTACTAAATTGTGACAGGACTTAGAACCAAAATACTGCCGATGGCGCTCTCTAGTGGTGAATCTACATATTTGTAAAAATTAGCTATGGTGAAATTATTTGACGTTCATGAGAAATTAGCCTATAGTGTTCCCACCCTGTTAACTTTTCTGCATGCCTTCATCATTTATTTTTGCTACTTTATACCCTGCTTCCAGATCCAGACCTTCTATAAACTATAATGGTGTTAACAAGCGTGAAATAAACATTTTGCACACAATTTTAAAGGGCGCTGTAGTCCAAACGAGCCGTTCGTTGTAGTTCTTGAAAAGGGATTTTTTTAAAACGAAATATCTCCCTTTGGAGTGGACTTTGAGATTTGTAACTTTCTAGATCTTTTTTATGCCCAAACATACACACTACACACTGACTAAAATTAAAAAAGTGAAAAAGCATAATAGGACCCCTTTAATATGATTTTACCCCAATTTGTTGAACAAATATGTGAAATATTATTTAATTCTGTGCAGTTAGGAGAATATATAAAATGCTGGCTATGAAATTAGTCTAGCAAACAAAGCAAAGGAGACAACCACTGTATTGCAAAAATGTTTAAAATGTCACATAATCTATGGTAGAAATAACACTGTTGGTAAGCTTCATGAGTTTTAGTTAATGACCGAATTTTCTTGTGGTGCATACATGTCCACTGTTTAGTAGACAGTTAAACAAATTAGAAGCATGTAAAGTGCATTTAAAGTCCCCCTGTAGTGAAAATCAAGTTTTTTTATGTTGTTTAGCGAATTAAGAATCACAAACGGCTGCATTCGAGTCTTCAAGGCATTTTAGGACACAACATCGTCAAGTAAGTAACTTTAACAAATATTACAGTATTCACTGTAGTTGTCCGCTAGTAAAAACATAGTTTTATCAGTCATTATCCGTGTATGCCATTGTTTTGCGTTTACTACATTTCATTGAATCAGGAGGCGCTGGCTGGTGTGACTGAGTGGAGGCGGGGCTAATTTGCATATTCATAGATCAGCGTATAGTAAATGAGGCAAGGGTGTAGAGTTACATTCAAGCTATTTTAAGGCATGAGAAAATTATTTTCACAAGAAAAAACATTTAAATATGTCATTTTGATTATCAAAGATAAGTTTTAAGGGATACAATATTTGACTACAGGGGGACTTTAAGTGTATTTTAGTTATTTTTCTGAGAAATAATAAAGCAAGACATTTCTGAGAAATAAGAATTAACAGGCCCACAAGTCCATCTAACCGAAGAAACGCCCATCTTTTTCCTGATTGGTAAGAGCTGCTTTCAGTTCTTTAAAATTGAATCCTGCATATCTCAGAAATTGCTGTTCAATTAGTTGCTGCTCAGTTATATAACAACATGATAGAAAAGTCATAGAACCGTCCAGTAGTGACATATTCGTATACTGTTGTGAAGTACGGTTTGTCCTCCCGCTGTATTGAGGTCAAAGTGGAATGATGCTGTTGTTCCTTTAAATGCTCTCACCCAGCTGATGATCTACGTCACAGCATATGACCCGGTTTACAATATCATTTTATTTCTTTATTGTTTTGGCCGCGGATTTAGGAACAACACAGACCACACGCGTCGAGTCGTAGTGTATAACTGTCCAAAACAGTCCTGAATAAACATGAGCTAGTTTCCACTGAGAGCTGAATGCAGTGCGTGCGGAGGGTTGTGTTGACGCAGAGCGGTCACATGAATTTGAACTGAAGATGGCGGACCACAGCTCAGGAACATCGGAGCAGCACAGCAGTGAAGTTTCAGAAACTTTAGTGTCATCTAATGAATTCCTCAAACCCCACATGCAGGACAGCGATAGACATACAGCCAACAGTCCAGAGGAGTCGCTTTCTCCTGCCTCGGTGATTTACTTTAAGGAGGCGCTAACTTATAACTCAAGTATACAGTTTACAAAGACGAGCTCTTCTCTTCCTGCCCCAGTGCGATATGAATTCCAGATTGAGAAGACTAACAAGAAAACAAGAAGTGAGTATATGTTATGGTCGTCTGCATATGGGCTTGTTTGATAGGATCTGATAGTGTTTGCTTCTCTTGAACATGCTGCGTTATTTGACACAAGCCTTATGTTTCAATGTCAACAACATTGCACAATGACAGCCACTCCGACGTTAATGCAAGTTTTTTTTTTTATTTTTTTTTTTTATTTATGACTTTTAATTCATAAGTCAATAATAACCCACAGCTAGCACAAACTGTCATCAGCTTGCATGTAAAATATTACACCTGGTGTACGGATGTAGGTATCCACAACCTTAAAGGTGGGGTAAGTGATTTCTGGTAGCCAATGTTGATATTTCAAATCACCAAAACAAACACGCCCCTACCC